AATTAACAGCTTTTTAAAAACCAGGCTTTGGGCTGGGGATTTAGCTCAGTGGTTCCAGCTCCTGTCTCGCAAGTGTAAGGTCCCGAGTTCAATCTCCAGTACAAAAAAAATAAAACATAAAATATAAAAAAAAAAAATAAAAACCAGGCTCTGCTTTGCGCATTAAGAGATGGAAAAACTTAAACCTTACAGACACATCCATAAACTCATCCAATAAAGAAGGTATTCCCAGTTTCTACTATACTACTAGCCTTATAACATTATCTTTTAGTACAACAGTACAGTTTGTATGCTTAAATAGTTTTTTTTAGGGAACAGGGGAGTGCAGGAGATTGAACCCAGGGCCTTCACAGAGAGCTACATTCTCAGGCCTTTTTTTTTTTTTTTGAGACAAGGTCTCACTAAGTTGCTACGGTTGGGTTCAAACTTGCAATCCTCCCGCTTCAGTCTCCCAGAGTACTAGGATTACATGTGTGTACTACCACACCCAGTTTCCCCGCTACAGCATTTCTTTGGGTTTTTAATTTAGTTCTGCCTGTTGGACTTGATTTATACAGCAGAATTTTGTGAAACAGAAATTCAAAGAGCCTATCCACTTAACACATTAGTAAATAGTTTTCACTCTGATGTTTTCTAACAATTATATATTCATCTTAGTAATGTATATCCATTATCTTCTACGAGATTGTCAGGGTTCAATTTCTAAATATGCTTCACGAGCTTACGACTTTATGAGCTGTGAGATTCTCTGGCAAGTTAATTCATCATTTTGTGCTTTGGTTTCCTCATCCATAAAATGGGGTTAATAACAGGATCTACCCTATTGTGTTACTGTAAAGACCAAATAAGACACATGTAAAACAACTACAATGGTACTTATCACAAAAATTTAGTGAATATTAGAATTTTTTTTTTTTTTTTGGGTACCGGGGATCGAACTTGGGTCCTTGCGCTTGCGCAGCAGGCAGCGAAACCACTGAGCTAAATCCCAAGCCCCTAAATATTAGAATTTTTGAAAACCAATTTCAATATACATGAGCTTTATATAAGACTGAATACAGAAGCCCTAATGTCACAAAGCACAGTGAAGGCTAAGTTTAGAAATAAGATAGCAGGGGCCAGGGATTTAGCTCAGTGGTTTTGCCACCTGCTGCGCAAGCGCAAGGACCCAAGTTTGATCCCCAGTACCAAAAAAAAAAGAAATAAGATAGCAGGCAAGAACTAAATAACCACCTCATCGATCTTCTCCAGTTGTAACTGTGCTGCCTTCCTCAAATGTATAACTTTTCAGTCTATTTATGTTTGAATGCAGAATGAAGCGGTTTTTGTGAATCAGTGATACTAATTTAAGGAGCACTGAATATTTAGTGTATATAAGAAAATCTGTTAAGGGATGGAGATGCAGCTCAGTGGTAAAGTCTGCCTAGCATGCCCTGGGTTCAATCCCCATTATCACAAAAATAAATAAATAAGAAACAAAGAAAATCTATTAGTAAAAGTATCAGTCATACACACAAAGACTAAATACAGTAGTATATACTAATAACAAGTTAGAAGCTGGCATAACAATAAACTTTACAGTACTTTATAATATATACAGCATATAATCTGTTAAATGACTGAAGTCATTGTGTGTGAATAAAGCGTGTTACCTCTATCCCCCTAAAGGTACCCTTAAGGGATTCTCAGTGCTCAAGTCCTGTCTCACAAACAAGAGGTCAATCACCAACGCTACCAAGAACCAGCCCAGGTCTTATTCATTCTCTCTCAATCCCAGTGGAATCAGAAGGAATAATTTGCCTCCTTGCCATACTGAGAAGCTCAGGGCAACCAGTAAGCACTGTAATTCACAGACTACAAAGAAGAGTGCCTCAGTCAGGTTCTCCTCTGTTCCATATAAGACCAAAGAAATTCTGGGCACTCAACAATGTCCCTGAGAATAAAAAGTCAGCATTCACCAAATTACCCCTCTTTGCTGCCAAAGAACAATGGGGCTTCAGTAATTTTCTCCTTTTAAAGCAGAAACAGATAGGGCATGACTTCAACATTAGCAAAATGTCAAAATCATTGCAATGTGCACTTGTCCCACATCAGCATGTGGGATGGTTAGCAGGGCTCCAAGCCTTGGCCAGAGACCGCCCCAACCCCACTGAGCTGTCTGAAAATGAGAGCCACAGAGGAGAAGTGTGGCTCTGCTCTACTCCCTCTCAATTGGGGAAAAAGACAAAAGCAAAAAGCCCCAAATGTTTGTCACTTCATCATAACTCAAATGAATTATCACTTGTTAAGCTTGAACTGACAAGCTGGGGCCTCTATCTTACTTATCAAGTATTCAGCAAGCTCTCAACTCAGAAGATACCCAATGGCTGTTTAACAGTGACTAAAGCATCATGTACACTAGCTAAGTTTTAAGTACCACACCGAAGTGTCTTGATAATTACATTTCAATATATTCTTAGTCCTCATAGAAGATGAAAAAGACATCACTAGTTTTTCCATTCCAAGCAATCTGTTAAAGTAAACCAGCATTACTTGTACATAGATTCCAAGCTATCAGAAGGGTAAATTAAAATTATACTTGTGTGTTTTGGATACAATCCTTAAACCATTTGTCAGATTCTTGTTCTGGGAAGATTCTTACAACTGACCACATAACTTCAAGCTTATAATGAATCTTTCACATTCTAGTTTCTTCAAATGCATAATAAATACATATGACTCTATCACTTATTATAAATACATCTCTAAGAAAAATTTCAAAACAAGCTAACCAGGTGGTACACACCTGTTATCCCAGCACTTCAAGGGGCTGAGACAGAAGATCATTGTTCAAGGCAAGCCTGGACAACACAGCGAGACCTTGTCTCAAAAAGCAAAAAAACAGGGGGCCAGGGATTTAGCTTAGTGGCACCACACCTCCCTCACAAACACAAAGTCCAGAGTTCGATCCCAGGTACCAAAAAAAAAAAAAAAAAGGAGGGCAAGGAAAATAAAAATAATTAAGATGTGGTATGTATGTGTACCAATTCTCCAAGATGACTTATGTATCACCAACACACACTAATAAAAACATTTTTAAATGTTTTTTAAAAAGGTGTTTGTGGGCCGGGGTTCCGCTGCCTGCCTCACAAGCCCAAGTCCCAAGATCAATCCCCGGTACTTCAAAAAAAAAAAAGTGTTTGTGTTCTCTTTGGATAAAAATTATTTATTTAACTTATTTTTCCTTATCTATTCTTATTTTTCTTGGGCCGGGGATTCAGCTCAGTGGTTCCGGTGCCTGCCTCGCGAGCGCAAGGTCCCGAGTTCGATCCCCGGTACCAAGAAAAAAAAGAATTGATTATTTTTCTTGAAATAGCTCTACTGGTGAAAAGACTATTTCACATTGCCAGGCATGATTACATTTTCCAACAAAAGATTTAAGTCACACAGAATATAGTAACTCTAATCAATCTAACCTAGTGTCTGCTAAAAATAAATCTAAATAAAGCAATGATAGGATGTTCACTATCAAGGAAGATCAATTTATTTCTGAAAAGATTTAGAGAAAAAGGAATTCTAGTATATATGACCTATACTTGTCATGGAAAATTTGGGCTTGTTTCTGGGGGAAGAAGAAAAGAAGTCATCTACACAAGTCTCTGGAGTTAGTGTGTGTGTGGGTACAAGGACCAAATTACAGCTCTGAAAAAAAAACTATAAACCTGTCAGAGGCAACAAGTGGAGACTGAGGTTCAATTCCAACATTATGAATGAAGAGGAAAGGCAATTACTGAAGTGGTTAATTCATTTTATTTCTATTTATAAAGAGCTTGGGTTTTTTGCTTTGTTTTGGTTTTTTTGAGACAGGGTCTCGCTATGTAACCCAGGCTGGCCTCAAACTCCTAGCAATCCTCCTGGCTCAGCTTCCGGAGAGCCAGGATTACAGACGTGCACCACGCCCAGCACAGTATTTATGACCATCATGACCAGCAAAGAACTAGACAGAAGAAATAGAGATTATGAAGTATAATGTTGACAGAATTTCCTAAATTGGACTGAAATACTCGATCCTCTCCCATTCCCATCACCCTGAACCCATGCTGATGCCGGCCTATCTCCAGGCTCATCTGTGCCCTCTACCTGACATATGTCCCAAACCCTCCTGAAAGGAAACAGATGCCAACTTCTGAAGCTCTCCTGACCCAACGGTCAGAATCTACCTGTCTATGAGTTCATGTATTTTGTTATACATCTAAGGGTCATCAATTACAAACTACACTGAAAAATAGTTCAGCTGCAACTATGCTTAAATTCTATCACCACCAGCAGACCATAAAAGAACATCACCATTCCAGCACAAAAAAATTACAAATGAAGGATTTGGTTTTTATCACTTTTGTATCCTATCAATGCACACAGGGCATTGGCTATATACATGAGCAATAAAAAATACAAAGCTTTCACCCCAGAGAAAATCAAAAGAAAAGAAAAAGCCACATAGCCTACAAGGCCAAGAGTTACCCGTCTGTAAATCAGACCCTGGGTTCCACCTCCTGGATTCTAATGACTATATAATTGGCCAGGAATCTGCAGGTGACCATACTTCCCATTTTGTTCTGCATGATGATAACAAGATATTTAAATACATTGCAAAAGTCAGGAATAAAACAAAGGTTGAAGTCGTCGTCACATTACACTGGAACTTCTGCAGCACTTTAAAATGCTAATAATACACAGTGTAAATTTTAATTATGAAATTTTCAGTGAGGGCAGGCCTGGCGGCCCATGCCTGTATTCCCAACATATGGGAGACTGAGGCAGCAATACCACAAGGTCAACACCCATATGTCCCAGGCCAGCCTAGACTATAACAGATAGACCCTGTCTCAAAACACCAAAAAAAAAACTAGTAAACTAAGCTGAGTAAGATCCTGAGGTGAGTTTGGAATGTTTCAAAGATAGCTTTGGATTTGATCACAATGTTACTGGATGCATTAGAGTAAGGTCTAAACAGTTCTTACCTGATATGTGTTGCAGGTAGAGATTCATATTGGCGTGACAAAAAGAGCTCCCTATGTTTCAATTGGTGTTTCTGTTTATCAGTCAAGTCGATCTCCACTATTGTTTCAGATTCTTCCTCAATTTCCTCTATACAAATAAAATTCAAAGTATCCATTATGACAAAGCAAACTTCCTCTTTGAATACTAAGAATTAAAAAGTTAGGTCAAATCAACATTTCATTTTCTTCAAACTAATCAATTTTAAATTTATATAGTCATTTCAATTACAAGCATAAAATTAAATCCTTTGGGCTCAAAGAAGAAAAACTCCAATTTAAAAATGGCAACTGGGCTGAGGTGTAGGTCAGTGGTAGAATGTATGACTAACATACATGAGGCCGTAGGTCAATCTCTAGCACCACAAACCCAAAATTAATTAATTACAAGTTAAAAATGGCAGAAGGGGCCAGGGATTTAGCTCAGTGGTTCTGCTGCCGGCCTTGCAAGCGCAAGGTCCCGAGATCCATCCCTGGTATCAAAAAAAAAAAAAAAAAAAAAATGGCAGAAGGAACACATACAGTACATTCGTCATCTCTTTCACCAAAAAACCACACCAAGATGGCAATGAAAATGTGTTAATATTTCAGTGACAGTGAAAAATGAAGCAGAAAAAAGAATTTCAACTAAATAATAAATTTGGAAATTGAAAAGCAGGAGGGACATAGTGATATATACCTAACACCCCAATACTCTGGAAGGCTAAAGCAGGAGGATCAGGAATTCAAGACCAGCCTGGGCTCTTGGTAAGACCCTGTCTCAAAATAAAAAGAAAGAAGCCACCTGGCTCACAAGCGCAAGGTCCTGAGTTCGATCCCCAGTACCAAAAAAGAAAGAGAGGGAGGGAGGGAGGGAGGGGAGACTGGGAATGTGGCTCAATGCAAAGGCCCTGAGTTCAATCCTCAGTACAGAAAGAAAGGAAAGAAAGGGGAGGGGAAGGGGAAGAAAAGGGAGGGGAAAGAAAAGAGAAGGGAAAGGGAAGGGAAAGGGGGGGAGGGGGGAAGGTTAAAACACTTAGCAGAGAGGAAAAATAGCTTACAGAGGGAGATGCCACGGAGAGGGAAGGCAAAGCCCTGTACTTACTTAGCCCTTGAAGATATCAAATACTATGAAAAAGACAAGTAGGGCCAGGGATTTAGCTCAGTGGTTCCGCCGCCTGCCTCGCAAGCACAAGGACCTGAGTTCAATACCCAGTACCAAAAAAAAAAGAAAAAGACAAGTAAAGTGAGGGACTTGAAAGGCTCAAAAGCCTATATAGACTAGAAAAACTGAATCTCAGAATACTGTCTTTAGAAAGGAAATAACCCAGAAAACAAGAAACAAGATAAGAGCTTCAATCTGGTAATGCAAATAATAAACTAATGGGAGGCAAGGCTAAAGAAATTTGCCCAGAAACTAGAACACAAAGATGAGTTGAAACCATAAGATAAAAAAATTAAAGAAAAATCCATGAAGGCCAATATCACAGCAGTAGAAGTTCCAGAAAGAAAAAAAACAGTAGTGGTGCATGTCTATAATCTCAGCACTTGGGAAGCTGAGGCAGGAGATGACTGCAAGTTTGAGGCCAGCCTGGGATACACAGCAAGTTAAGGACAGCCTGAACTGCCTAGTCTCAAAAAACAAAAAACACTGCCTCGCAAGCAAAAGAACCCGAGTTCGATCCCCAGTACCAAAAAAAAGAAAAAAGAGACCCGTAGAAAAAGTGATTCATGAAAATTTCCCCTTCCAGAATGAGATTAGTCTTCAGAATTTACTCCACATCTTAATTTTTAGTAACTAGTAATGCAATATCATAAAAGTTTACTTAAAGGAAAAGGAGGTCACATATAAAGAAACTAGAGTCAAAAAACTAGAAAACTAGAGCAGCAACACTGTATACTAAGAAGGGCAGCAATGCTACCCAAGAGGAAAAACGATACTCACTCACCCTAGAATTATAATCTATTAACCCTGAGAACAGAGTAACAACAACCTTTCACTCATTCAACTGCATTTACTAGGTGACAAATCAAGTACTATTCAAGACACTGGGGCTACTCAGTGAACAAAACAGTTACTAAAAAAACCTTCAAAGTCTGGGCCTCTGGGAAGTAGGTCTGGGAAGGAAGGCAAGGGAAAGACAAGAAGACAAAGTTTTACATGCTACTTTTTAACATTATATTTAATGATTTCTTTAAAGAAAGAAATGATCAAGTATCAACTACAGATATAATACCAATTAATTTGAGCTGCACAATTTTAAAAGATATAATACCTCTAGGGGCTCATATAATACCTTTGCAGGCTCACTTGGAGCAGGCTGTGTGGATAAAGGAATAGCGGAAGTGGTGAGGACACAAGTGGGATGGTGTGGACTGGCTCTTCACAGAGCAAGGAGAACCCAAGGATAAACTTGGAACATCTGGATATGCCTGGGAGCCCTTATTTTCAGACACCAATGGTTGTCACACACAAAAAACAACATATTTTTGTGTCTCATAATTCTTATTTCAGGACCCAAGAACACAAAAAGGATTTTATCAAATACAGTCACCTAGTTGGAGCTACTTTTTTTTTTTTTTAAATTGCATGAGGGTAATGAATGCATGGGCTACTACCAGGAATTTCCTAGTTTAAAGAAAAAAAAGGTAGAAACAGTGAATCTTTTCTTTTTCTACTTTTTTTGCTGTGCTGGGGATTGAATCTGCAGGAGACTGCAATATTGATTATGCCCAAAGAAGGCTGTAATCAGTGCGGGCTGTGAAGAGTTAACCCCACAATTGATTTAGTTTATAGAAGTGAGTCCAGCCAAAGCCTGCATGTGGAGGTCAAGAGTACCTCACACCTAAATTTCATTCCCACAACTAAAACCTTCTTAACTAGGAAGACAATGTTCTAATTACAACCATATATTTTGTCTATTCTGTCCCTAATTCAGGAACACTTTGCCTGGTCTTTTATGAGCCTTGCTTAAATTCCATAGAAACCCCAGGACTGCGTATCCTTGCACGTAGTCCCACCCTCACATGTAGCTTGCCTTTACCCCAATTGATTACTAATAAAAATCTGTGGTTTGGACTGGCCAGTGCCTTTGTCGATTACACCAGCATTGGTCGTTCTGGCGCCCTGCTTTCTTTTCTGTCTCTCTGAGTTCTGTCTTTCAGGTTTTTTTCCTCAGGCCTGCAAAGTACACTGAATACTTTGACTGGAGCCTACTGCAGAGGTTTCTAGTAATGTTTCAGAGGTCCCCAGTAGAATCCAGGACTTTGAACATGTCTACCTCTGAGCTACAGCCCTAGCCCCAAATCTTATTTTCTTATAAAATCCCGTGGTGCAGGATAAAAAAGACAAAAAGCTCTAAAGTCTCACCTAACCAAAGACAGAAATCACCAAGAAAGCATCTGTCACTATGAAGTTCACTGATGAAGCTCACTTAGTAGTTAAATTTTGTTTAAATTTCTAGAAATTTCTAGAAATTACAATGGCTTCTAAGCAGAAATGAATGATTCCTAGGCCAGGGATTTAGCTCAGTGGTTCCACCACCTGCCTCACAAGCGCAAGGTCCCTAGAGTTCAATCCCTGGTACAAACAGAAAAAAAAAAAAAAAAGAAATGAATGATTCTCACCTTACTAATATTCTAAAAATGGGCTGGGGATTTAGCTCAGTGGTTACGCCGTCTGCCTTGCAAGTGGAAGGACCAGAGTTCGATCCCTGGTACCAAAAATAAAAAGTAGATCTAATATCCTAAAAACACTGAACAGCAGCAGTAGTAAAACTCAACACAGACAAGGAAAATTCTAAAAAACACCAATAAATATAACTATCACATCAAAAACTACATAAAGGGCTGGGGATTTAGCTCAGTGGTGTCATGCCTGCCTGGCAAGCGCAAGGTCCTCAGTTCCATTCCCAGTACCAAAAAAAAAATTATGTACCTTGGGCTGGGGATGTGGTTCAGTAGAAGAGTACTTGCCTAGCTAGCATGAGTGAGGTCTTGGGTTTGATTCTCAGCACTGAAAAAAAAGTTGGTTTTTTGAGACAGGGTTTCACTTTGTAGTTCAGGCTGGCCTTGAACTCACTATATAGCCCAGGCTAGTCTCAAACTCACAGTGATCCTCCTGCCTCTGCCTCCCGAGTGCTGGGATTACAGGCATGCGCCACCACACTCGGCTAAATATTTGTTAATTTTTTTTTGGTACCGGGGATTGAACTTGGGTCCTTGCGCTTGTGCAGCAGGCAGCAGGCAGCAAAACCACTGAGCTAAATCCCCGGCCATATTTGTTAATTTTTAAAAACCACTTCACCAAGCTTGATGGAAAATCATATTTGCTATCTTATTAAAGTTTAAAAAGCAAAAGTCAAGAACAGTAATAGAAGACATTAAATACCAAATTATTTACTGTATTTTCTTTATAGTTAGAAAAATTTCCATACAGTTTAGTAGCAATAAGGTGCTGGAGGTAGAGAGAAGAGAAATTACAGAAGAGTGTACAAAGGTACTGTTTGAAGTTTTAAAGAGGCATAGATGGTGCTACCCTTTGATCATCTGTTTTAGCTGTATGTGCCATATAATGAGTGACTTAGCAAGGTCCCCATGCATTTTAAAGTTTTAGGTTGCAGGATGACCAAGGAGCCAAGGCCCCAAAGGCTCCGAAAAGGCTACACATGCAGGCTAAGAAGGGCTGAGGTGAGACCAGCACCAACATCATCCAGGAAATCAGGAAGCGGGAATCGGAGAAATGCTCCCGGAGGGGTCTAGAGTGCCTGATCATCCAGCTATGAGACCCAGGGATCATTCTTAGCAGCAGGTTTCAGTCAGGGACTCAAGCAAAGTGTTACAGACTAGCATACGACACAGAATTGAATTAAATAACTAAGCTACAAGGAACAGGACCAGGAAAGGAGGACCCATCACTGACTCTAGGTACCTAAGCAGAAACTGGCTGTTTTTCCAGACAGGTCAGAATCATAATTTTCACATGTCTGTTTGGGGAACCTGGGGAAGCAGCAGGGAAGGGTAGTCATCCAGAGATTACTCTCAAGAACCCTGAGTTCTTAATTTAAATGAAATATCATCTACAGCACTAAGATGCTGACGCAAACTATACAG